GGGCTGGTCGTTGCGCGCGCGGGCCTCCTCGCGGGCGGCGCGGCGCGCCTCGCGCTCGACGATTTGCTGCCGCCGCAGGTGGCGGATCTGGTAGAGCGCCTCCATCTCCTCGTCGCGCAGCGCCTCCTCGCGCTCCTCGGTCGGCAGGTCCACGATGACGTCGACGCCGTCGCGGTCGCCCGCCCGCCCGAGCACCTGCTCGTTGGTCGATGCTTCGGCCCGGTACGCGGGCAGCGTCATGACGGAGCGCACAGAGGTGTGGCGGTCGACGTGGCCGCCGGTGGCCGTCTGCACGGGCGCGGGGGCGGCGACATGGCTCGCGGCCGAGGAGGCAGCGAGCTCCGTCGTGTCGGCGGTCGAGGTCGATTCGTAGCCTTGGATGCGTGACTTTTGCCGCGCTTGGCGTTTGGAGTAGCACGTCATTGCGACGATGAGGATTACAACGACAACAAAGAGGCCGAAAAAGCCACCCACGGCGATCTACACATTTCTTCTCGTTAGCAAAAAGTTGTGGTTTGTCTACCCGGCCTGCAAACGACAGACAACGGCAAACGGTCGGCGACTATTTCACCTTGCGAAATGAGATTGGTTTGTGAATAAAAATAAGCAACATACCGCTGCGCTGGACACATCTCGTCGGACAAGGCCACGGGCCTGAACGAGGCCCTCCGCGTAAGCTGTTGCTCCACGCGGGGGCCGAGCCGGGAGGTGCATGGTGATAACTTTGGCTCGGAGCGTTTGCTGTTCCCCGCTGTTCAAAGCTTTGCCTCGGTGGGAATTATTGCAGTCCCAATTCACTTGTCAATAGTTGTTGGAATGGGCAGACGGTGATGCGGGGAGGGCAATGGGCAACGGACGGATGATGAAATGGCAAATGATTCTCACCAGCCACATCTCGCACACCGCACGCGCTGCCAAGGCGTTACTCAACTCCCAATGAGGCTGGAGGCCTGGGCCAAGGTCGTTGGCCCACTGGGGCTGAGCTGGGAAGTGCGCCTCTTTTGGCTACGGAAGGGACCTGGTCCGGCAAGGGGCTGTAGAGGTTTCTGTAAGCCGGAAGGAAAGTTGATTATCTTGTAAGCGCTTAGATTATTATTAAAGACGGTGCAAGCCTGTCAATGGACAAAATGAGCCCCTAATGTAACCTGGGATGCCGCCGGCCAACGGTGTTGTAGTACTGGTCGCAACGGTCGCAGGTGTTAGTGGCGATGGCGCCTGCAAGTCGCTGGCGTGGCCGCTGGCGTGGCCGCTGGCGGCCCCATCTTGGGCTGAATTGTTTTGGAATATGTAGGTAGGTAGGTAGGCAGCCATCGGCCTTGGCAATGGAGGCGCGTAATTGCCATGATGGAGCTGCATTGACAGTCGAGGACCAACATTGGTTACACTGTTGCATGTCTCTGCCAGGCGGCTAAGTCATCTACGCTGCTTGCTTCTTGTTGGTCCAGAGAAGATTGTAATATTTACTATTTATATACCCCCTAGCGCGCCATCATCTGCATTCTTCTCCGCAAACCTGGGATCACGGCGCTTCCGCTCTCATCCTTGTAATGCCGAAACAGCGCGCGCCGCATGAGGCCTCGCGGCGCGCGGCGGCCCGTAAACAGCTCAAACTGCGCGAATCCTTGCTCCGGGAGCAGGTCGATGCCGTCCATGGCGACCCAGCCGCGCGCCGCCGCCGCCCGCGCCTGCTCCAGGAGCGGCGTGTCGAGCGTCTTGTAGCCGAGCTCAAAGATGACGCCGCCCGTCGGGCTCGTCAGCCACGCCGCCGGCGCCGTAAAATTCGGCGCCGGCGCCTCCCCGATCTGGTGTGTCGGGATGCACGAGATGAGAATCGTCGGCGCCCGGTAGTCGGCCGGCCACGGCGCGTCGCGCGTCGCCAGGATGTGGAATCGCACCGCCGCAGGGCCCTTGATGAGCAGCATGTCCGTGTCGCGCTGGAACAAGTTTTCAAAGTGCGCAACTACTTTTTCGGCGTTGGCCGGTGTGCGGTTGTAAATGACGATGTTGCGCACGCCAATCTGCAGCATCGCGTACACGGCGGCGCGTGCCATGCCACCAGCGCCAATAACCACGCCGCAGGTGCTTGGGCGCACGGCGTTGGCAGGGGATAGGCCGCTCTGGATACACGCTTTGATTCCGATCCAGTCAGTATTTTCACCATAAAAGGCACGCACTTCCCCAGTGCGATTCATATTGTTGAAAAATGTCCCGCCTGCTGGAATTGAGCCGTCGTCGTTGAGATGTCGGATGGGGATCAGCGTATTGACAGCTCCAATTGCACGAGCGTGACGGCTCAGAGAGTCCGTGATGGAGATGACCTCGACCTTGAATGGTAATCCAATCGATGCACCACCAAAACAGGGATCTCGGATGAGATGCTGGATGCCACTCAAAGAACTGCTCGAGTATGGCCGGTACACATGAGGCATCCCGTAGCCCATGAGGGCCGAGCTATGCATGATGGGCGACATGCTGTAGTCAACATTGGCTCCAAATACATACAGCTTCATTGGCTCATAGACAAAGGCTGCAAAAAGAGCCTTTGTAGCTTGTATCGGTGTGATAGCCGAGTCTACGCCAGGCTCGCATGGCGTCTCAGGCATATTTGCTGCCGAAGTCACTGTGAGGAGAGAATTAAAGCATGCTGACATTCGACCGAGCGATCCTGAATTGTACGCGGCAACTGGTATCCCCCGGCCCGGTACCATGGCCGGTATTGTCCGAAACTGCGCTACTTCGACATTGTCTTGCAACGAAGACGCCGGCCGAGTGAATCGAACCATGTCGCAGCAAACATCAACAGCTTTGCCATACAAGGCCTTCCAGTGATGGCCGTTCCATGCCTCTGAGGACACGTGCATTTCTCGGCAGCCAATCACCTTGGAACGCCGCCGCCCTTTGAGGAGAGTTCGTATAGCGTCATTTTCCAAGCGTAAGTCTACCGTGACCATTTCTGGCGCAAGTTTGAACGTATGAGCAATCAGTTGCGTGTAGACATCCCAGATAGCTGCGTTGGCGGCTTCCTTGACTCTGAGATGGCAGATTATTGGTAGCACAGTGGTCCTTCGCACGATACCCACGGCTTTGGTCACATCAGCCGCCAGGGTCGAGTGGGATGTGCTCAAATCATCGCTCTCGGTGATGTCAATTGTGATTTCCACAGCATCTGCGCCGCAAACAGCATCGTCAATGTCGAATTTCCGAGTCAGGATGTGGCTGATGGGAAGTGGTATGATATATGTGAACTGGCGCTCTTCAAGCGGAATAGACGCCAGTGGGAATGCCGAGTTGACGAAAGGAATGGTTCCAGCAGGGTAGAGTAACGACAGGAATTTAGTAAAGTGTTTTTCCGCATGTTTCAACGCTAGTGATGGGATGAATTCATCGTCAGGCGGCGAGGCCTCTGCTGTTTGTGGAGACTGTTCTGTGAGGTTGAAGAACTCGAGGTTGGTGCATGTGCGAAAGAAGATCGTGGCCACTGCGATCAGGCTTTCGACCTTGGCGTCGTTGTCCAGCTTCAAATGAGATTTGATTGCTTCCGCATCACGGACAATATGGACAATTGGGTTGGTGCTGGCAAACTCGTGCAGCAATACCTGCGCATGGCGGCTCATCCACGAGCAAACAAGGATGCGACCAGTGGGATTCTTCTGGAGCGAGTCTTGCAGTATCTCCGCCTGCTTCAACTGGCAATTTTCAGAGCCGTGCAGCTTTCTGTAGGTTGTCGAGGTCACCGCGTGGGCACGTTGAAAGGCAGCCTCGAGATCAATGACGGTCCTGCCTAGCGCCGTCGACGCAATGACGGCGAGGGTCGACTTGCCGCTCCCGCGCACGCCGACGAGCACAATCGTGGCATCTTTATGGAATTCAGGCACCGTCTTGGAGAAGGGCTCGACGTTTGGCGAAGCGATTCGGTCCGGCGGTGTGATGGAGGTCCTGTGTTGGTCGCGTGCCGAGGCGAAGTTAGGTTGGGTTCGTCCCACGGCGTCATTCTCTGTCAAGGAGGCGAATGGCCGTTTCACACCTGCCATGGTCATGATGGTCGACCCCGGCTCATGACTATAGACTGTAGTTTTGAAAATAGTCAACGCAAAGCACACGGCCTTTGTTAGAATGCGATGGTTGATGGAAACATTCCGTGGGGTCTGAGCGAGCCGATGAGCGGAGAAGGCGGTGCAACTAGTGGATAAGCTTTTACCCGGTCCGCTTCCCCTTCCCCGCATGATTACCCCACGATTTCCCCACGGCGGAACTCGAACTCAAGAGTCCATGCAAAATTACGAATCTTCAACCCTGCTGAAACTGCGAGAAATCCCCTCGCTCGTCACAAATCCCTTCACTCAACAATTACCCATTGGCGACGGCACCTTGCTAAATTTCTACTTCTGCTGGGAGTCGCTTTCGTTCAGTGGAGAGCCAATTACCCTACCCTGCCCGGCTGGTCCTCATGCCAGCACCGACCTCGACTGCCGGAGTATGCCTCGGCGCGCGCGCGATCTGGCCGCCGACGAGGACATGAAGGTCGCTAAATCCTCGTCGCACCAGCCGAAGCGACAACGTGTCTCTCTTGCATGCGATGCCTGCCGAACGGCGCGTGAGAGATGCGACGGCCAACGACCACAGTGCGGCACCTGCACCAGCGTGAAGCGCACATGTTCCTACACGCCGGCGTTGCGAAAGCGCGGGATTAAGACGGGCTACCTGAGAGCGGTCGAGCTCTCTCTGGCTTGGGTCTTTTCCCGGGCGCCCGAGGCGGAAGAGGCTCTGCACCGGCTGTTTATCGAAAACGACGGCGTGGCGGCCGACCAAATATTCGTCTCCAAGGGAAAGACGAGTGATCGCCTGTACAAGAAATGGATCAACAGTCTGATATACGTCGATATCGATAAGATCCTTTCCGAGGACCGACCGGCGAGAGTCGATACGTCTACGGATGAGTCAAACTCGGAATCCTCCCCAGGAGGAGCCGAGCATGACTTTGGCACCGTCGCCCGTGCAATGGCCTCGATACCGCCCTTTCCCAAACCAGAAACACAATCCTCTCCCGGCCTGGCGCAAACACAGTCCTTGACGACGCCCGTCATCAGATACCCCAAGCTACCTTCCTCCTGGCGCCGCCTGGTCGACATTTACTTTACCTATACTCACTGCTGGCTGCCCATTGTCCAGCAAGAAGAGATTTACTTCGCCGCCATGATCTACACGCCCGACGGCCTTCAAATCGCCTCTGGAAGCGACCCCTATGCCACGGCGTGCCACGCGCAGCTCTGGGCCATCCTGGCCATGGCGTCGTTTCAGGATGGGCATCCCGGCGGGCGCTCCGAAGCACAGGACGTGTACGACTTTGCGCGGAGCCTCATACCAAACGACGACGCCAATCACGAGCGCCCCATGGCCTGCACCATGCTCCTCCATGCGCTCATCCTCATGGGCAAGGGCAACGGCATGGCCGCGTGGCTGACGGTCGGGCGCGCCGCACGCCTGGTTCTCTTGACCGAGCATGGTGTTGTCGGGCCTGGCGGTGTTGAGCGCCGCGTGCTGGCCGAGTCCCCCGTGCTGGCCGCTTGCTGCGTTCTGGATACGCTGCTGTCTATTTGCTTGGGAAAGCCGGCCCAGCTCGCCCTTGATGTCGATACCAGAGATCAGTCGGCGCTGTTCTCCCTGTATCCAGAGGCCGCCGGGCCCTGGCGACCTCTGCCCGGCTTCGGCTCGGCCTCCAAGACACAGCCCGCCACCAGCTACCCCGCTCTCACACTATACCAGCTGCTCGAATTCAGTCTCCGCACAGGCGAGCGAGCAATCTCACACCGAAACGTAGACAGTAGAGACGGTCGCGGCAACAACAACGACGGCCTGGTGCAGTCGCTGCATCCCCAGCTGCTGTACTGCAGCTCCCTCAATGTCGGGGCGTCGATGCCGCGCATCCCCTCGGCGCTGCTGCTGCAGGTGGCCTTTCTGGCCAGCTCCATCCTCGTGTCCGGATACCGCGCGTCGCTTCTCTTCACGCTGCTCGAGATCATCGAGCTGAGCATCGAGTACTTTGGCGAGGGTGGGACGCCGCCGCTGCTGCCGTACTTTATGGAGTCGATTGAGAAGCACATTGACTTTGACGACATGCGGCCGAGCGATCGCTCAAAATGGTCGCTTCTTCTGAAACGGCTGCGCGCTCCGTGGCAAAACGAGAATGCCGGCCAACCTGCCGAGACCCAACACTCACTCCGCCATGGCATCGCAGACACCGCGCGGTTGCACACGGCGAGCTCCTTCTCTCCGCAGGCATTTGCTGGCGGCTTCGAGTCTAGCTCCAGAGCCAACACTGGGGACTCGCATCCCAAGGGCCACATCTTTCCCACCGATAGCCAGGATAGCTACGGCCACATTTATCCTCTCGGCGGCCACTCTGTTCACTCAGCAGGGACTGGCCAGTCGCCTCCCCTCCATACACCGAACGTCCATTTGCAGGCCTCGCCGCACCCGTTGCTGCAGGACACGACGCTCGGGGCTTGTCCGCCTATTGACTATGACGCAATGCTGGACGAGCTCGGCTCCATTGACTATACGGACAATGTTGAGCTTGATGCCCAGTTCATGGCAAATCTTGGATTTGCGCCCGGGTGCAAGACGCCTGACAGCGTGGGCGATTTAGCACATTAATAGGGCATGTCTCGCGCTGGCACATTTTTATAGACATTTACAAGCAATAAACGCTCGCACTTCATCCATATATAGCAATATCTCAAGTCCCAATATTACTGCACTCCTTATCTCCCCCGCGCTCAACTCTCTCTATCTGAGCCTGACCCGCACATCACTCTGGGGCCCGGGGGGGGCGGGAAGAACCCCAGGATCTAAGTCGGCGGTTCTGCGGGGGATAAAAGCAGGTTGAAGAGTTTCCCACAATCATTATCCATGAATGTTTATGCGACTCGGAACCGGAACAGCCAGAAGCTAAGCCCCAGCTGACCAGTCACTTACAAAACAAAGGGGCGCCATAGGTAGAGGCTAAGTCTTTACCCGCCATCTGCTGCTCCGCGACACATGACGCCGCTAGCCGGATGCGCCACAAAGGTTGTTCATGGTACCGGATCCCGTTTTTCGGGGGAATGGGGGAATTCATCTTACCCCGGAGTCCCGGACGAGCGTAGAAACCAGCTAGCAACGCCACCGTCCAACTACAACACTTGTCATGGAGCAAGCCATGATTTCAACAAGGGATATATATGTCCACCAGGTCAGAGACCTCTTCAACTCTCCCGTCCGCATCGCGCAGCTGTGAACCAAGACCTCATTCCCTCACATCCTGCTCTCTGCAGCTGCCCCCTTCATCATGACCATTCTCGCGCTCAAAGAGGACCGGCCGACGCCCAAGGCCGTCTACAACTGGCACGTCTACGTCTGCGCGGCGACGGCCTCGTTCGCCTCGTGCATGATTGGCTACGACTCGGCCTTTATCGGAACCACCCTCGCGCTGCCCTCCTTTGTCGCCGAGTTCAAGTTTGCCACGTACACGCCGGCGCGACTGGCCCTGCTCAAGCAAAACATTGTCTCCGTGTACCAGGCCGGCGCCTTTTTCGGCTCCCTGGCCGCCTACTACTCCTCCTACGCCCTCGGCCGCCGCAAGACGCTCTTCCTCTTTGCGCTCATCTTCACCCTCGGCGCCGGCATGATGCTCGGCGCCAACGCGGAGCGCGGCCTGGGCCTCATCCTCGCCGGCCGCGTGCTCGCTGGCATCGGCGTCGGCGGCTGCTCCAACATGACCCCCATCTACATCTCTGAGCTCGCACCGCCGGCCGTGCGCGGTCGGCTGGTCGGCATCTACGAGCTCGGGTGGCAGATTGGCGGCCTGGTCGGCTTCTGGATCAACTATGGCGTGAACAAGACGCTGGCCCCAAGCCACTCCCAGTGGCTGATACCGTTCGCCGTGCAGCTGATCCCGGCTGGTCTTCTGCTGATTGGCACCGTCTTCATCCCGGAGTCACCGCGCTGGCTGTTCTCCAAGGGACGGCGCGAGGAGGCCATTGCTGGCCTCTGCTGGATGCGCAAGCTGGAGCCGACGGACAAGTATATTCGGGAAGAAATCGCCTTCATAGATGAGGAGCTGGAGCGCTTCAACACAGAAGTCGGGCAGGGCTTCTGGCGGCCGTTTAAGGCTTTGAAGGAGAGAAGGATTCAGTGGAGGTTTGCCATTAGCACACTGCTATTCATGTTCCAAAATGGTAAGGCACAGGACAATCACGCCAGACAAGCATACGCTAACCACATGACAGCCTCTGGTATCAACGCCATCAACTACTACAGCCCTACCGTCTTCAAGACGCTGGGCATCACCGGCACCAACACCGGCTTTCTCACGACGGGCATCTTTGGCGTCGTCAAGACGACCCTGACCGTCGTCTGGCTGCTGTTCCTCATCGACCACCTCGGTCGACGCACGCTCCTCATGGTCGGCAGCATCGGCGGCTCCCTCTGCATGTGGTTCATCGGCGGCTACATCAAGATCTCGGGCGCCAGCGCCACCGGCGCGGCCAAGGGCGGCAGCCTCTCGTCCGGCGGCATCGCCGCCATCTTCTTTTTCTACCTCTGGACGGCCTTTTACACACCCTCGTGGAACGGCACTCCGTGGGTGCTCTGCTCCGAGATCTTTGACCAGAACACGCGCTCACTGGGCCAGGCCAACGCCTCGGCCAACAACTGGCTGTGGAACTTTATGATTGCGCGCTTCACGGAGCAAATGTTCAACGCCTGGGGATACGGCGTGTACTTCTTCTTCGCCTCGCTTATGCTGACCTCGTGCGTGTTTGTCTTCTTCTGCATCCCCGAGACCAAGTCGATCCCGCTCGAGGCCATGGACCGGCTGTTTCGCGAGAAGCCCGTGTGGCGCGCGAACAGCAAGGTCATGGAGGACCTTCGTCTCACCCAAGATCAAGAGCCCACGTCCGATAGTGTCGCGCCTGAAAAGGCACATAGTGAGGAGGTTGAACAGCAGTACCGCTGAGTGCGTTGCAGAGGAGAGATGGGTGGTACCGCATCGGCACATGAGGTCGCGCGTTCAATAGCAGATAATTACAAATGTTTATACGCAAGTCAGTTACTATGTGTTTAAACTATTCTCATGAATAATTTCTCCCTCGTGACTATAGAGATCGTGGTGGCAAGACCCATTTGGTGATTTCAAGTCAAGCCCTTGTAAGCTTTGTCCTCTATTCAAACCTCAGTCGAAGTGAATCACAGCCGTTGCAATACCGCGCAAAAAAAAAAGCAGTATCATTGATTGAGATTCATGTGGTTCAAGTAGCACAAGCTCAATCGTGTGACCCTCTGCAAGAACGCAAGCGAGCTGTAAAAAGCCTTTTTGATATTTTTAGAAAAGTGACATTTATGTTCTATATATTTACAATTTCGAAGCTAGATGCTGTGTTTCTTAGAAAAGTGACACTTCTGTTTTATGCATTTACAATTTTGAAGCCAGACGCTTTGCCACTCGCGCGGCAATAGCCTCACGGACCTTGGCAACAGGTAGTTCAGAAACGCTCTTCCCCGTCCAGTACTTGTCCTGCTCCAGGCCCTGCCAAATCATCGCCTCGGTTCCCAGAATCACCTGCCAGCCCTGCGCCTGGGCGACGGCGACCAAGCGCGTAAACGGCGTCGGGTTATAGCACATGTCCAGCACCGCGCCCTTCGGCCCCGGCCGCGCCATCAGCGCGTCCGCAATGCTCCGGGCCTCGCGCTCCGCGTCCGTCCGCGGCTCCAGGTCGGGCACGCACGCGACCACGGCGCCCGGCGTCTCCAGCGCGTCCACCTCGGCGAGCGTGGCCACGTGTCGGAGGCCGGCGCCGTAGCCGCGGGCGGCGCAGTCGCGCAGCACGGTGCGCACCTCGTCGGCGTCGCGATTGACGAGGTAGATGGTAGTGACGCGCATCCACTTGCGCAAGGCGTAGATGGCGCTGCGCGCGGCGCCGCCGCCGCCGATGACGAGCGCAGGCCGGTTGTGGAAGACGGCGGCGGGGTCGGCGACGCTCTGCAGGAAGGAGTCGCGGATGCCGATGACGTCGGTATTGGTGCCGCAGAGCAGGCGCTGGTTGTTCTTGCCGGTGCGCAGGAAGACGGTGTTGCAGGCGCCGACGTCGCGGCACTCATCCGTCATCATGTCCAGGTGCGGTAATATGGCAACCTTGTTGGGCATTGTGACGGACGCGCCTGGGGGTTGGGGGTACATGTGTTAGCTGTTGGACTTGCTGAGCGGGAAACACGAAAGGGTACACACCGTAGAAGCTGGGATTTTGCGCAAGGTTCAAGAACTGACTCAAGTCTGCCGAATCAAGTCGCAGCTGCGCCCAATTGAGACCCAAGTCTTCGTAAATGATCTGGTGAAGAAATGGCGACCAAGAGTGCTGGATGTGTTGGCCGAATAGGTAGCCATGGCGGTCCAACGCCGTGCCCTCCACAGCAGTGTGTGTCTCTTGTGCAGCCGGCATGATGAGAATGGTATGTAAAGTTGTAAAAATAATGAAGATGTTGGTAAACTGAGCCTCGTATAGACGGTCCGCTCATCTGGGCAGCCAGAGCTATTGTATGCATGTATACCGGAACTGCAGGAGAAGAGTCTACGAAACGGGCATGGTCAGTGGCGTTCGGAACTCCCACTTGGTTGAAACCTGGGACAGAAGCCGCGCTGCATCCTTGGCTCGAGAGCAAAAAGTAAAAAGTATACCCAACGGCGGCGGGGGGCCGTTGGTAGCCTGATGGATAAAAGCTTAGCCCGTCTTACCCGCCTCCGTTTTTGGTGGCGGCCGGGGCAAGCTCGGCAGTCAAGCAGTTTACAACGGTTTATCCGTATCGTGGGGAAATCAAGGGATAATCAATATATGGTTTTGTGCTTTCCCGGATTTGAAATGCCAGTTGCCGTGCCAATCGAAGCCGCCGGACGCAATGTCTTGCAGGTGAGAATCCCCGCCACCAACAACGTTCAGCCGCGATTTGGTGGGATGTCTTATCAAAATGTGATCTGACTAATACTGTATGACAGGAAGACTTCATCCATATTAATTCACGTTTCTTACACTGAAACCCTGATATACTCTATATTCCCCTTCTTTTGGATTGTCAGCCTGCAAGACAACCATTTCATTCACTAGTTATACCAACATAATGACTTGTAAGCCGAGCATATGTACCATGTCCCTGGGACGAGCCTTCGCGGGCCATTCCCTCGAATACAAACTCGATATGGCCCAGAAATACGGCTTCCGGGGCATCGAGCTGTTTTACGAGGATCTCGAATACATGGCCAAGTCGCTGCCCGGCCAGGATGCAACCGCGAACCTGCTAGCCGGCGCCAGCCAGGTACGCCGGTGGTGCGACAGCCGCGGCCTCGAGATTATTTGCTTGCAGCCGTTTATGCACTTTGGCGGGCTCCTGGACCGCGATAAGCAGAAAAAGGACCTCGCCACGATCACGCTGTGGACCGCGCTGGCGCACCGGCTGGGTACCAACCTGATTCTGTTTCCGAGTTCTTTCCTGTCCGCGCCGCAGCTCACAAACGATCGCGCCGTCCTCGTCCGGGACCTGCAAGACGCGGCGGACGTCGGGTTGCGCGCGACACCGCCGGTGCGGTTCGCGTTCGAGGCCCTGTGCTGGGGCACGCAGGTCAACGCGTGGGAGGACAGCTGGAGCGTCGTGTCGGCCGTCGCGCGGCCCAACTTTGGCCTCTGCCTGGACACGTTCAACATGGCGGGTCACATCTTCGCCGAGCCGGCGGCGGCGGGCGGCTGCCGGGCGCACGCCGACGCGGACCTTGAGTGCTCCCTGCAGCGGCTCATGGCGCGCGTCGACGTCGCCAAGGTCTTCCTCGTGCAGGTCGCCGACGCGGAGCGGCTGGCGGCGCCGCTCGACGAGCGCCACGCCTTCTACAGCGCCGAGCAGCCGTCGCGGATGAGCTGGTCGCGCAACTGCCGCTTGTTCTACGGCGAAGAGCATCTCGGCGGGTACCTGCCGGTCAAGCGCATCCTGCAGACGGTGCTGCACGGGCTCGGGTACCGGGGCTGGGTGAGCTTCGAGGTCTTCCACAGGCGCCTCACCGAGAGTGATGGCGCGGTGCCGGAGGAGTTTGCGGCCAGGGCATCGGGGTCGTGGGCGAAGCTGGTCCGCGACCTGTCGCTCGAGCCGAGGCGGTCGCGGCTGGAATTTGGGCAGGGAAAGGAACGTGCTGTGCTCTAGGTACACCCCATAATGAACTGGTTTCTGTATGACGATGATGGAAGATACAAATGTATTGTACGAATATATATTTTACAAATGTGCCTTGCTGCCCTTTAGCTTGACATGCTTGGCTGCAAACTCCACCGCGGCCGTATACCCAAACACTCCGAGGCCGCAAATCACCGCCTCAGCCTTGTCGCTCAAGAAGCTCTTCTTTCTGAAATCCTCGCGCGCGTGCACGTTGGAAATGTGCACCTCGACAAACGGCACCTCGACGCCGAGCAGGGCGTCGCGGATGGCAACGCTGGTGTGCGTGTATGCCCCGGGGTTGATGACGACGACATCCATGACGCCGCGGGCGGCATGCAGTCGGTCCACGATGGCGCCTTCGTGGTTCGACTGGAAGGCCGAGATTTCGGCGTCGAGGGCTTTGGCTTGGGACGTGGCCTGGGCGACGACGTCGTCGAGCGTCGTGGCGCCGTAGATGTGCGGCTCCCGAGTACCGAGAAGGTTCAGGTTGGGGCCGTTGATGATGAGGATTTGTCGTGGCATCGTGTTTGTTTTCCTGTTGCGATGAAGGAACAATGGTTTTCTTTTTTTTTCCCGAATAATCAAAATAATGGGCGTTGTATCTGTTAATGAATTCCATAACAACTATTCCGTTCTCTGATCACCCCAATCCGATTACCCCAGTCCGCTACCCAGTCCACGGTACCTCGTATGGATAAAGGCTTAGCCATTGCCCATGTGGTTGGGAAACCTGGACAACAATGGATACCTATAATAAACGACGATTTGGGAATTGATTGACACTAGATTCGTAACGTAAAAGATAATTTGACTTTTCCAGCACTGTTGCCTCTCAACCAGGAAACATTGCCGGCTTTCTGTACTCGTTGGTACAGATGATGATGTTGACGGTGCATACCTTTCAATTTTACTAAGAGAAACCGAAACGAAAATAGTGATAGTAATAGTAATATAACCCCCAATCCATGCAGCAAATTACCCGAATTTCTTCTCAAATCTCTTGAGCATTCCAGTCACACCGTTCTCCAGCTTGCCTGCTTTCTGCTCCAGCTTGCTTTTCGTCTCCTTCTTCGGCTGGTACGGCTGCAGTTTCGCGCTCATCTCCACCTCGGTCGGCCGGTACACCTGCTGGTGGAGGGAGTAGTCCAGCCCCCCGTTTTGCGCCGGTGTCGGGTTGCTGTAGCTGTAGTTGGAGTAGCCGCCGAGCGGCGGCGGTGGCGAGGCGGCCGTAGTGGCCGCGGGCGGTGACGACTGCGGCGGCGGCGGCGGTTGCGCTGCTTGGGGCGGCGAAGCCACCGTCGGAGGAGCCGCAAAGCTGGGTGGGCCAGGCAGGTTGGCGCCAAACACGCTGTTCAGCCCGGGCGAGGCCAGGCCGGCGTGCACCGGCATCGTCTGCGCGCGGTGGATGCCGAGCTGCTGGGGCGGGCCGCCGCCAAACGAGGGTGGCGCCATGCGCGGGCTGGCCATACCGCTGGGCGCAAACCCAGGGCTCGCAACTCCCGGCGGGAACTGGGCGTGCGGGTATGCGGGCGTAAAGGGCTGTCCCTGGTAATCGTATGCAACCGCGACAGCCAGCGGGTTGAGAGGATCCTCGTCAGGCGGCGGCGTCTTCTCGCGATACGTGACGGCCTCCGGGGCCACCGGAGCAGCTGGATTGTACGCCATCGGAGCATAGCTAGTTGCCGCTTTCGGCTGCTGCTGCTGCTGCTGCTGCTGCATGTGCGGCGGCATCGGCGGCGGCGGCGGCAGGTTATCCATGGACAGCGCCGTGCTCGCGCTCGACGGCACCACCGCGCCATTCTGCTGTGCCGAAGCGGCCGGGTCCTGGAGCTCAGAATACTGCGGATCGGAAATGGCGACATTCTCCAGGTTCTGGACGACAGCGCTCACGGCGCCGCCCGGCTGGACGGCGACGGCGACGGGCTCGTCGAGGACCTCGACCTGCGCGGGGGGCAAGACACGCCGCACGCCATTGACAAACTGCAGCGCATCTTTGTCGGTCCAAAAGTATATGTCGAGCGCGTGCAGCTGGTAGTGGTATTTGTTCTCGTTGCGCGGGTCGTAGGTGGGCAGGTGCCATTCGTCTTGGGGCACGTTTGGGGCCACAGTCAACGACACCACGCTATGCTGATTATACGAGTATCGGACATGAGCCTGGTCTAAGACTGAAAATGTGAGGAGTTTTATGTTCAGCAAGCGCGCATCGCGAGTTTCTGGTATACTTTGGGTTAGGCAACTTACAGCCGTCAAAGGCATCTTGGTCTTCGGTGCCAGCATTGTTCGCAATCTCGATGCGACAGCGGCGCTCGTGCGCATTTTCGAATAAATACACATACGAGCCCTTGTCGAAGCGATGATGTCGCGGCTTCACCTCCTCGCCACCGTAAAAGTAGTGAATGTCGGCAAAGCTGGAGGACCTAGTTAGCGACCGAGGGCCTAGTTTGCGACGAAGGGCGACATACAGAGTGGCCACAATTTCTTCCCCCTCTCTAGCAGCCATTTTTGCGATAGCGCTAGGGTACCTCGTTCTGCTTTATTGTTTTGAAAAAAAAAAGGAAAAGCGACCGGGTGAGTGAACTTTGATGAGAGAAGCGCACCGACACAAGTCTGGTCGTGAAATCTAGCGAATGCACGTAGGTGACTCAGTTTTAGGAAAACGTCAGTACCATTCGTGTTACCGCTGGAAGAAAACCATCCTGCCTCCGTTTCGAGGCCGGCAATCCATTTATATGTACAACTGTGTCGCAACAGCCTGCCCGCATTGGCGTCGACCTGGGCGCTTAAATGCATCTTGGAGGGGTCGTTTGGTCCAATAAGAGAGATGTGATGGAGGGAGGCAAGGAGATCCTGGCACGTTAGCGGGGCAGCTCGGGGTCCCACCACTGAAGCAGGCCACGAGTGTATTTTTACGAATGGGCAAACGTCTGAATAGTTAGATTGTGGAATGTATAGTTTAAGACTATAAGTATACTGTGACGGTCCTCGTATAACATGACGACACTGGCTTGCTTCCTCGGCCATGGAATGCCTGTCTCTAGTACCTACCTAGGTAGGTACATAGATGGTGGGTGCCTCAGGACCGGAGCCCAGTAAAAAGGTCTTTAGCACATGCTTTTAGTGCCTCGCAGAACGACAGCGGCTGTAATTCGTGGGCAGCAACAGACTGACACTAATAAAAAAACAGTCCACGTGATACCGCGTGCTTATCGTGGATCCTCGAGGTGGGAAGCAGGCGTCAGCCTAAACTTTACGTGTCATCGGCTCAAAACTCGCGACGAGGTCAGTAACTACTAAGGAAAATGCATTGCGACTTTCGAGACGTTGTGCGCGCCGGAAATCCGCAACTATCCTCAAAATGACGTCGCCAGAGGAGCTGCCAAGGGATGGCGTGGTCCATGGCATTTTGAACGACGCTGGTGAAGTGGATGACACCAAAGTAGCCGACGCTCTTGGAGTCGCTAAAGATGACGACGAATACAAAACACTAAAGTACCATCTTCTGGGCCCATCTCTGACCAAGGCTGGACAGGATTCCGTTGACCAGAACAAGGTAGCTGACAGCCCCGCACGCCAAACAACTACGCAATTCTGACAGCTTCATCAGGTATCGGAAATTATTTACAATGCCTCCAAAGGGTCCAAATTTTTCAATCGAGAAGAAGAGCGCGACAAAGTCCTAACACAAAAGATTGAGCGCATCTTGCGTCGCAAAAAGGAGCTGGACAGCCTGGACCTGACTCACGAACGTTTGAGCGCCGATCGCCTCATCACTGAACTCGAAGCGTCGCGCGATCTGACGCAGCACATTGTGCACATTGACTGCGATGCCTTTTATGCGGCTGTCGAGCAGCTCGACCGGCCTGAGCTCAAGGACCTGCCATTCGCTGTCGGAGGCGGTGTTCTCACCACGTGCAATTACCTCGCCCGCGAGTTTGGCTGCCGCTCTGGCATGGCCGGCTTCGTAGCCAAAAAGCTCTGCCCGCAGCTCGTCCTGATCAAGCCCAACTTCGAAAAGTACACGGCTAAGGGCAAGGAGGTGCGGGGAGTGCTGGCCGACTATGATGCGCGATTCGAAAGCGCAAGCATCGATGAGGCTTATTTGAACATTACCGAGTACTGCGTGACTCACAACATGAGTGCACCAGAGGTCGTGGAGCAGCTGCGCAAAGAAGTACATGAAAAGACCAACATTACTGTCTCGGCAGGCATCGCCGCCAATTCAAGACTGGCAAAGATTTGCTCGAACCTTAACAAACCCAACGGTCAATACGTCTTGGGTCGAGAGAGAAATGAAATCATGACATTTATACGCGATCTGCCAACGCGAAAGATCCCGGGCATCGGTCGAGTTCTGGAGCGCGAGCTTCTCGAAGTGGGCATCAAGAACTGTGGCGACATATACGAACATCGGCAGTACCTCCATCGACTGTTTGGCGATAAGACCTTTGAATTTCTTATGGGCTGCTATCTCGGCTTAGGACGCACCAGTATCCAACCCGCAGAGGAATACGAACGCAAAAGTGTGGGCACGGAAAGCACCTTTCGCGAAATATCGGATCCGAAAAAACTTCGTGAGAAGCTACGAGCAACGGCTGAGGATCTGGAGGGAGATATGAAGCGGGCCGCGTGCAAAGGGCGCACATTGTGCCTCAAAATCAAGCTACACACCTTTGAAGTGTACACCCGCCAGGTTGTAACGCCGCGTGCCCTCTGCCTTGCAGACGATCTATACAATTTCTCCCTCCCAATGCTTACAAAGCTCGAGCAAGAGATGCCCGGCATGAAGCTGCGGCTGATGGGCCTACGGTGCACCCATCTTGTGAGCACCAAAAAGCCAGACACCATGGCGTTTTTCGGCTTCAGGCCGAAACGCCCCGACGAGGAATCGCTCTTCAATTCGGCGCAAGTCAAGCACAAGGCGACCGACTTTCTTGCCGGAGCCGACGTCGGGTTCGAAAACCCGTCCGAGGAACCCGACACGGCCCATGACAGTGGTGGAAACAACAGGAACGATCAGGGCCGGCCGCGGAGCCACGGCAAGGAAATCGTGCCCAATCCAAAGCAGCAGCCGCGCCCGGAGGAGGAGTGGTGGGATTGTCCAATCTGCATGCGTCCGCAAGCGGCCAATGAGCGGCAATTTAACGAGCATATTGATCTATGCCTTTCGAGGCCGACGATTCGTGAGACAGTGCAGACAGATGGCGGAGCTAGCACCAGTGGTGCAACTGCCCCTGGCAAACGGCCACCAGGCGGGGGACCAGAAGAGAGGAAGAGAGCAGCCAGCAGCAAGTCCAGCAACCGTGATCCCCGGCAAAAGAAGCTGTGTTTTGGATAGACGAGTATGTAATGGAGCGTTTAATGCATAGATGAAATACCGATTATATTCCAGCTCATGTTTACCACGGGCATGTTGACACTAATAACAGACAAGCGTGCGCGCCACTCAGCGGGGTCGCTCATCGAAGGGCAATGTGGCCCGTGTTCCTAGCCTCCTACCCTAGTTACCATTTCTGTCCTTCTCTTCACTCTTTGCACAACCACTTCAAATCGACCATCATGAAGACTGCCGCCGTTCTCTCCGCCCTCGTGGTTCTCGCCGCCGCCGCCGCCGAGCTCAAAATCGAAGTTACCCACAAGGTCGAGTGCGAGCGCAAGACCAAAAAGGGCGACAAGGTCTCGATGCACTACCGCGGCACCCTCGCCGCCGATGGCTCGCAGTTTGACGCCAGTGCGTTTTTTTCCCTCTTCTATCCTTCTCCTCGGGGCTGCTAAATTGGTTCAACAATGTGCTAATCAACTCGGTCGATTCGCAGGCTACGACCGCGGCAGCCCGCTCGACTTCAAGGTTGGCGCTGGCCAGGTCATCAAGGGGCACGTTTTGCCCATTCACGACAACTTGCTAACATGACAATCGCTAACGTCGATTTCTCCCTCTTAGCTGGGACCAGGGTCTTCTGGACATGTGCATTGGTGAAAAGAGGTGCGTCGATGCCAAATACTAAACGCGCAAGCAGTGGTCTAACACCTCGTCTGGTAGAACCCTCACCATTCCTCCCGAGTACGGATACGGCGACCGCGGCATCGGCCCCATCCCCGGCGGTGCTACTCTCAGTATGTCGAAAACCCCCCTAGCATCCATCGTCCACGTCCATTGCGCTAGTCAGACAGCTAACGCTCACGCCACAAGTCTTTGAGACCGAGCTCGTCGGTATCGCCGGCGTCGAGCCTCCCAAAAAGGTCGACGACGACGACGCGGCGCCCGAGGCCGACGACAAGGCCGCCAAGGTAAATCCCATCGAAGTTATTCGCCGTATACTTTGTGGGCGCAATCCGCTAACATGAGCGCCTCCCCTTCGCTCTCCTTGACTAGAAAGAGGAGCTGTAAATGTATGTATACAATTGCACAGCGATGCGATTATGATTTTCTCCACAGCTATCAAAATAATAAACAGTTGATCTACATATTGTCGTTCGTATTTCGACCTTGAGTGGGGATCCTACCGAGCTGTGTGATTGTTCCCTAAAAGAGACCGCCAGTTTCCTTTCGACAGCGTCCAATATGGGGATGGCATTTTATTAGCGCGGGTGGATGCTTTGGGAGTAAAGAGTAGTAAGTAATATATTCCCCTCAAGAGGTCGGCTTCGAAGAAAAGTGTCGCCTGAATGTCAGATGTGAAGCAACTATAGTAACTGACGAAAGTGCTAGCAAACAGATACGTTTCATAACAGAGGCTACCAGGACGGCAAACAAGCTCGACTCTCCCTGCAAGTGAGCTAGTCAAGGCTTTCCCAGCCATTTCCCACATTGCTTGCTGATTTGTTGTGGCCGACAGCTGCAAACGCGTGCGGAGTCGATGCAGTAACTCACTCTGCATGAACTCCAACACAGAAGGTCATCGAACTGGCAAGAATGATGGCGAAAATGAGTCGACGTGGGGTCTTTCAAGTTCGAAAGACAATTGGCATTCCCAAGCTCTACGGGACCTCCCTGTTGGATAGCCAGCTCAGAGGGACCGCCCGCTTTACAGAGGCCTCTTTTCTGGGAAGAGAGTAAGGACCGAGTGATGGAATGGCCCGAGTGAGTGCTGGTTGCTAATATTTGGCTGGCATATTATCAATCAGGTCAAGTAGAGGAGTGGAATATAGAGATTAATCCCTGCACCTTGGTGCTTTTTCGGCCTCTCTGAGGACTGTTCCTCTACAGCTGTTTGTTTACCTAGGTACGTAACCAATGGGAAGCGTTTGACCAGCACGCAACTGCCGGATGATACTCTTGTATGTAGATAGCTAATTTAGCGAGGCCTGTTGTCGGTGCTTCCGTTTGCTAGGGTCCACCTCATTCACTCACAATCGGCGGCATCGGATTCCACATCGAGGGCTTCTCACCTATTTTCTCCTCAGCATTCATTTCGCAGCGCTCTGCTCCTTTCCAAAGCCTCATCACTGTATTTTTCTTCCCTGCTAATTCCTGGAGAGTCGCTGGCATGGCACCTCCTCGTCTTGACGACAAGATCGACATTCTCCATCTGCTAATCGACCATGTAAGTCAGCGCCTGCCCCCCCGGCCAACGCAGGTCATCGATCATAACCGTCCTACTCGGTCGGATCTACAGGTGAACAACAAAACGTCGCTGTATAACCTCTGCCTCGTCAGCAAGCGGTTCAACTACGTCTTCTCTAAGCGACTTTGGAGACGTCTGGAGCTGGACGGCAGCAATATGAATTGCTTCGAGGATGAGAACAAGCGCGCCATTCTCTTCCAGACGCCCAACTTGGAGCATGTCAAGATTTTAGTTCACAGGAAGCGGCTGCAATCCAAGTATGGGCGTCTCGAATACCCGCAGTGGGACTCGGAGCTTTCTGACTTGGTACAGAGGCTTCCGAGACTGGAAAGCATTATGTGGGTAGCAAGCCCTTGCTACATTGTTGATATGAGGCTGACAGGCTTCGTCCAGTGCAGCCGAGTTTGACGTGTCAAGGGATGTTATGCTCGCGCTCTCTCGCGCGACGTGCCTCAAAAGCCTTACACTGCAATTTAACCAGCGAACCGCGTCGTGCTTCTTTGTCAAGAAGGAGCCTGGGATCGAGTCGGTGTGGCAAAGTGAGATGCCGGGATTCGCGGAGCTCAGACTCCGCCACTTCCCATTGCTATCCCTGACAACCCTAACAAGGCTTACATTGCTCGAGCTTTCTGGTCATATGGGTAGCTGGATAACATGGATCGTGAACATACTGCTTCAAAACGAGGGTTTGGAACACTTCAGTTTTTCGATTTATACTCCCAGAGGCTGGGACGTAGAAGACAATGACCAACCACCTCGGGTGACCTTTTGCTTCGAGTTGTGTCACAAGTACGCCGAAAAGTCCAGCAAGAAGATGAAACTACGCTCACTTCATGTTGCTTGGCCGGTCATGTTCCCCGACCTTCCAACCCTCTCGCAACTCACAGATCCCGCCTACCTTGAGGATATCTACATGGACGACAGGTGAGTCCATCTTTTTTTTGCGTCGGTTTGAGAGCCAGCTCTTGCTGGTATTTTTTAAAACGTCTTGGTCTAATATGATTGAAGCCATGATTTTATGGATGATTGCGCCACACCGGATGTGCTGTCTCCCAAGGCTACACCGTCATTGCGCCGCCTCGCTCTTACGGCGGCCGGGTACAGTTGGACGGAAGATTTTCAACAGGCGCTCCTTTCCCCTTACCGGAAGTTTTCCTTACTTTCCGTCGGCAGTGCTCATTGTCCATGCATCCTAGACGGCACTCATTTGCGTTTGCTAGCTGATGCGGCTCCGAGCTTGACTGTTTTTACATGCATATCACCCGTCCGACTGTCATGTTTGCGTGGCAACAGCAACATAAGGCAACTCGGTACAGTTGTACATATATATGACCTATTCCTTTTGTGTACGGTTCCTCATACCGTTGTCACACTTTGCGATAGTTTGGGCAGCATGCCAAATCTGGAGGCGTTATGGTTCCTAGGAGGGTCTAGAAGGGCATCGAGAATTACTGCGGCCAAGGATTAGAGATGCTTTCTGCAAAAGCTCGCGGTCATGTGTCCCCGCCTACACTATGTCAAGATCGGGACATTGATGTGGCGCATTCACCCCAAGATTCGATACACGGCGCAGCAGAGGTGCACTTTTGAAGCACTCGATAGTTGGGAGTCGGCTTTGGAGGGTCCCTTGGCGTTTTGCTGGCTGCAACGATTGGGGAAAGACATGGTCCATGAGGACTGGTGATAGATTTGTGTTGTTGAACAAGAGAGAAAAAGAGAGACGAAGAGAGACGACGGGGATGTCTGCACACGCAAGAATGCTTCCGCTTTGTGGGTGCTCAGGCGCCGGTGGCAACGATACGGGGGGGAATGTGGCGACTTGCTGTGTATTGCTGGTTTTGGCTCTTGATGACATTGTTGGAGATGATACTTTGATTGCCTATAAATTGACTTGTTTCATCTTTTCAGCTCGTTCCTGCGAATCGTTGCGTCAGAGGCGTTGTAGGGCGGGTTGGGTGAGCTTTTGGGTGAGCTTTAGGCTGGCAGTTGCCTTACACCGCCCCATTACGGCAGCCTATAGGTAAGTTATCGCTAAATCCTAATTCACACCTAGTATGCAGTTAGATACAAAATAATACGTATATAAGTAGGCTATTATATTTTTTAAATATATATTATCCTTATAATAAATATAGATTATTCTTATATCTAAATATAGCTACCTTATTTAATATATTTTAGTTTTATTTTATATAATATATTATATAAACCTTTCCTTTTTCTT